ACACCAATGGGGGTTGCTATGAGTTGGAATTGACTTGATGGCAATGAGTTTGTTTTTTTTTTTTGTTATGCTCTATTATATACCTGGATATATTTACAGCACATACAAACATATTTGTAGAAATATCCTCTGCTAAACCTGTATATAGGAGCTCTAGTGGTATAGTGCCTAAGGCATTTGACTGCTAACCAGAAGGCTGGCAGTTCAAACCCACCAGCCACTCCTCAGAAGGAAGGTTGGGCAATCTACTTCCGTAGTGATAACGCCTCAGAAACCCAAGGAGGGGTCTCTATGAGTCGGGTCTGACTCCATGGCAGTGAGTTTGGTTTTTGGTTTGGAGGCAAGAAAATGAACTAGAAATAGTACATGTTCCTTTTTAAAAATTATCTTAATACTGATTTTGCATTTATGTCTCTTTTCTCTGTCTTATTGCTATCTTTGAAATTTTGTTAGCATTAGCTGTAAAATAGGGATTATTTTCTTCATGGCAATAGAAGTGTCTTTTGGTAGTCAGTATTTGTTCTAAACATGTTTTGGGCCCAAGGTTAAAAATTTCAGGTGTGACAGGTTTTTCATAACTTCCAAAACTGACCAATTTTCAACATGGCCCTCAAAAGAAGTCCCTCGAAAATTTCATTGCACCTTTTGGGGAAGAGTTGCTTTGTTCTTTTTGCTTTCTTCTTTATTATTAAAGCTTCTAATCATTTTAGCATGGACTTTATTTTCTAGGGCACTGATGTCTTTGTCCAGCTTTAATTTTTAGTTTGTAGATAGATAGATACAGATATAGAAGTGTTAGGTGCAGAAAAGCTGTTTACCTGGAAAGCCATAACGAAAATTCTTCACTTCATGAGGTGATGGCATTCTTCTACTTGGTTTGGGCATTTGAAGTTAAGAGAGAGAGCATTATAATTTGGGCAGGATGATGTTGTTGTTAGGTGCCGTCGAGTCATCTCTGACTCACAGTGACTGTATGTACAGCAGAACAAAACACTGCCCAGTCCTTTGCCAGCCCCATGATCCTTGTTATACCTGAGCCCTTTGTTGTAGCCACTGTGTCAGTCCATCTTATTGAAGGCCTTCCTCTTTTTTGTCGACCCTCCACTTTACCAAGCATGATATCCATCTCCAGGGAGTGGTCTCTCCTGATAATATGGCCAAAGTATGTGAAATGAACTCTGGCCAGTCTCACTTCAGGAACATTGTGGCTGCACTTTTTCCAGGACATATTTGTTAATTCTTTTAACAGTTCATGGTACTTTCAGCATTCTTTGCCAATACCACAACTCAAAAGCGTCAACTCTTCTTCGGTCTTCCTTGTTCATTGTCCTCCTCTCACATGCATATGAGGCGATTGAAAATACCATGGCTTGTGTCAGGCACACTTTAGTCTTCAAGGAGACATCCTTGCTCTTCAGCACTTGAAAGAGGTTTTTGGCAGCAGATTTGCCCAAGGCTATATGACATGTGACATCTTGACTGCTCCTTCCATTGGTGTTGATAGTAGAAACAAGTAATATGAAATCTTTGACAACTTCAGTCTTTTCTCCATTTATCATGATCTGCTTATTAGTCCAGTTGTAAGGATTTTTGTTGTCTTTGTATTGACATTTAACCCATACTGCAGACTTTAGTCTTCAGTCTTCATCAGTAAGTGCTTCAGGTCATCCTCACTTTCAGTAAGCAAAGTTGTGTTATCTGCATATCACAGGTTGTTACTGAATCGTCCTCCAGTCCCAGTGCCACATTCTTCTTCATATAGTTCAGTTTATCAGATTATTTGCTAATCATACAGATTGAATGAGTTTGGTAAAAGGATACAACCCTGATGCACTTCCTTCTTGATTTTAAACCCCTTGTTCTGTTCGAATGATAGCCTCCTGGTCCATGTATAGGTTCTTCATGAATATAATTAAGTGTTCTGGAATTCCCATTTTTCTCAATGTTATCCATAATTTGTTATGATCCACACAATCAAATGCTTTTGCATAGTCAATAAAACACAAGTAAACATCTTTCTGGAATTCTTTGCTTTCAGCCAAGATCCCTCTGATGTCAGCAATGATATCCCTTGTTCCACATCCTCTTCTGAATCCAGCTTGCATTTCTGGAAGTTCTCTGTTATTATACTGCTGCAACCATTTTTGAATTATCTTCAGTAAGATTTTACTTCTGTGCAATATAAATGATATTGTTCAATAATTTCCACATTCTGTGGGAACACCTTTATTTGGAATGGATACAAATATGGGTCTCTTCCAGTCAATTGGCCAGGTATGGCTATGCTCACTTAGCATAGCCAAGTGAGTGCCTCCAGTGTGGCATCTGTTTGTTGAAACATCTCAATAGGTATTCCATCAATTCCTGGAGCCTTGTTTTTTTGCCACTTCCTTCAGTGCAGCTTTGACTTCTTCCTTCAGTACCATTGGTTCTTGATCATATGTCACATCTCGAAATGGGTGAACATCGACCAGTCTTTTTGGTAGAGTGACTCTGTGTATTCCTTCAATCCTCTTTTGATGTTTCCTGCATCAATCAATATATTACCCATAGAATCTTTAAGTATTATAACTTTGAGGCTTATACTTTTTGTTCAGTTCTTTCAGCCTAAGAAATGCTGAGCATGTTCTTCCCTTTTGGCTTTCCAACTCCATGTCTTCGCACATTTCATTATAATAATTGTGTTGTTGAGCTGCTCTTTGAAATCTTCTGTTCAGCTCTTTTATCTTGTCATTTCTTCCATTTGCTTTAGCTACTCTTCATTCAAGGGCAAGTTTCAGGGTCTCTTCTGACATCCATTTTGGTCTTTCCTTCCTTTTTTGTCTTTTTAATGACCTTTTGCTCTCTTCATGGATGATGTTTCTTGATGTCATCCCACGATTCCTCTGTATGTGGGTCATTGGTGTTCAGTGCATCCAATCTATTCTTTAGATGCTCTCTAAATTCAGGAGGGATATATTCAAAGCCATATTTTGGCTCTTGTGGACTTGTTTTAATTGTCTTCAGCTTCAACTCGAACTTGCCTATGAGCAATTGATAGTCTGTTCCACAATCAGCTCCTGGCCTTGTTTTGGCTGAAAATTCTGAGTTTTTCCTTTGCTTGTTGCCACAGATGTAGTCATTCTGATTCCTGTGTACTCCATCTGGTGAAGTCCAGGTGTATAGCTGCTGTTTGTGTTGTTGAAAAATGGTATTTGTAATGAATAAGGGGTTGGTCTTGGAAAATTCTGTCATACTATCTCCAGTGTTATTTCTGTCATGAAGGCCAAATTTTCCAACTACTGGTGATTCTTCTTTGGTTCCAACTTTTACAGTCCAATCACCAGTGATAATAAGCACATCTTGATTGCATGTTCAGTCAATTTCACACTACAGAAGTTGGTAAAAATCTTCAGTTTCCTCATCTTTGGCTTTGGTGCTGGGTGCGTAAATTTGAATATTAGTAGTATTAACTGGCCTTCCTTGTAGACATATGGATATTATCCTATCACTGACAGCATTGTACTTCAGGATAGATCTTGAAACACTCTTTGTGGTGATAAATGCCACGCCATTCCTCTTCAATTTGTCATTCCCAGCATAGTAGATCATAGGGTTGTCTGATTCAAAATGGCCAAGACCAGTCCATTTCAGTTCACTAATGTCTAGGATAGCAGTCTTTATGCTTTCTATTTCATTTTTGACAACTTCCAATTTTCATAGATTCATACATTCTACATTCCATATTCTGATTAAAAATGGATTCTGCAGCTCTTTCTTATGTTGAGTTGTTCCACATCAGCAAATAGAGGTCCTGAAAGCTCTACTTTTTCCATATCATTAAGGTCAGCTCTACTCTGATGAGGCAGCTCTTTCCCAGTTATATTATGAGTGCCTTCTGACCTGAGGGGCTCATCTTCTGCCAGTGTATCAGACAGTGGTTCAGGGCAATTCAGAAAGTTGTCCTGTAATATATCAGATAGTGTTTCACTACTATTCTTAAGGTTTTTACTGGCCAATTCTTTGAGAAGTGGATGACCTCCTCCTTCCGAGTTTTCTCAGTCTGGAAGCTCCGCTGAAACCCATCCATCATGGGCAGCCCTGCTGGCACAGGCTCTAGCCTCACAGCATCATTCAAGTCACCATAGTACGACAAACTGACAGTCAAGTTCGTCTCCCTTAGCTATTCCAACTGCTCTGCTCACTTACTGGCCTACCCCTTACCTGTTGCAGCCGTTGGCCCTGGCTCCTGCTTCCTGCCTGTGGGCTCTCCCCTCCTTACCTGTTCTGGCCATTGGCTGTGGCCCCTGCTTCCTCTCTGGGGGCTCTCCCCTCCTTGCAGGGTGATTTAAAAACAACAACAACAACAAAAAAAAACAACTCACTGCCGTAAAGTCAAATTCAACTCATAGTGACCCCTCCTTGGGTTTTTGAGGTGGTATCACTACAGAAGTAGATTGCCCAATCTTCCTTCTGAGGAGTGCCTGGTGGGTTTGAACTGCCAGTCTTCTGGTTAGCCTTCCAATGACTTAGGTACTATGCCACCAGAGGGTGATAGTGGCAGTTCATGTACAGTATCAGTGGTTTGCTCTGTGCCTATAAGTTTATATTCTTTCAAAAGAGCTCCTGGGTGATGCAGACAGTTAATGTGCTCGGTTGTTAACTAAAAGGTCCTGAAAGGCAGGTCTGATGATCTACCTCTGAAGAACTGAAAACCCTATGGAGCATAGCGCTGCTCTGACACACATGGGATAATTATGAGTTAGAGTCCATTCAATAGCAACTGGTTTTTATTTAGCCCTTTGAACAATTTCGAAAGATCCATCCATGATTGACTCCAGGGTTCTAAGATGGGACATGTGAAGTTCTTTCTGAAAATGTGTCTTTCTCATTTTTGTAGCACTTGATCTCATTGCCTCTCCAGTGTCCCTGTGAGAGGCTGTGCAAAGAGCTGGTTTTCCCTGGATAGCCATTCCATACCAGAAGCACTTTGCCTGAAGTGAAAGAGCTTGGCAGGCCCAATGATGCCAGTTGACCTGGGGCAGGCCCTAGTCCTGTTGCCACCACTGACAAAGGCAGAGGACCCCCCATTCCCTGGACCAGATGCTGCCCCTCAAGGGGAACTCTCTGGGCCTGAAACTGCCCGCCAGCTTTTTAGGCAGTTTCGATACCAGGTGCTGTCTGGGCCCCACGAGACCCTGAGACAACTTCGGAAGCTCTGTTTCCAGTGGCTGCAGCCAGAAGTTCACACCAAAGAGCAGATCCTAGAGATCCTCATGTTGGAGCAGTTCCTGACCATCCTGCCCGGGGAGATCCAGATGTGGGTGCGGAAACAGTGTCCAGGCAGCGGAGAGGAGGCAGTGACCTTAGTAGAGAGCTTGAAGGGAGATCCTCGGAGACTGTGGCAGTGGGTAAGTAGAATGTGTTATGATCTGGGGTCTCATTGGGGTATCTCTATACCTTATCTAATTCTAAGGCTGTGTGTGCTCTCAGGTCTCTGGGTGGTGCAAATGGTTTGTATTCAACTGCTAACCTAAGGGTTGGCACTGTGGAGGAAAGGCTTGGCAATCTGTTTCTGTGAAGATTACAGCTAAAAAAACCCTATGGAGTAGTTCTACTCCATAACACATGGGGGCTGCATGAGTCAGAATCAACTCACTGGCAGTAGGTTTGGTTTTGAGGGGTTTGTGTGTGTGTGTGTGTGTGTGTGTGCCTCAACACTTTTTAGCTATTAAGTATTGAAGATTAAATCTCCCATCCCATTCCATCTTTACATTAGAATGTTTGAGTTTGTTCAGAAGAGTTTAACTGGTAGAGATCGTCCAGTAGAAACACAGTATTAGTGACCAGTCTTGAAGGTCTTCCAGGCCTGGTGTAGACCTCAGCATTTGATATCCCTATCTTGGGATATTTGTATCACTCGTTCCTGCTGGACAGGAAATAGAAGCTGCATTTCTGCTTCCCTAGTCCATGCCCCTAAGGACTGTCTTATGAAATCTGTTGTAGAAAGTTAGCTTCATGTCTTTCAGAAATCCTGACTTTGGTTCCTTCAGTAACTAGTAATAAATATATGGTCCCTAGATCAGCATCCAAGTTCTGGGACAGGAAGTCTTGTCAGAGAAGATGGAATCTCCAAGCTGCCAAGTGGAGGAGGCAGAGTCCCATCTTGAAGTGATGCCTCAGGAGTTGGGACTTCAGAATTCAGCCTCAGGGTCTGGGGAGCAACTGAGCCACTTCGTGAAAGAGGAGTCTGACACTGAGCAAGAATTAGGTGAGGGGCAATTATTATTCCTGGTGGTATGAGATGCTCTTGTACAAAATTAGGGGTTGTGGTTGTGTGAGTTGAAAATGATGTGCTGAGATTGAGGTGTCCTTGGAATATTTGAAAACAGGGTAGACCTACATGAATCACTCTGATTTTGAAGTCCAAGATTTGCATTTTAAACCACTTAATAGCTGTGCTAGACCATTTGGATTTTAGATCTGAGCTAGGAGATAGGAGAATTTTTTTTTTTTTAAATTGTGATTTGGGTGAAAATTTACAAGCAAATTCACTTTTCATATAACAGTTCACATACACTTTGTTTCATGACATTGACTACAATTTACCCCAATGCAACAGCTCCCCTCCCACTTCCTTACGATAGTTACCTCTTCCCTATGTCCATCCCTCTGTGTACTCCTGCCCCCTTGAGCTGTCTCCCTGTGCATAAACAGCCCTTTTTCTAGGACAAAATTTTTGTGAGACTCTTTGGAAGGTTGGAGGGAGTTGGACTTTGTTAGTAATATAAATACAAGTTTTGAAATTATGGATGGAGGAATAGATGTCAGTCTAATTTGTCAAGTTTTTTTTTTTTTTTTTTTTTTAGCAGTACCCTCTGGGTAGTGGCTGAGGAGGACATATAGGTTCTTAAAATTTCCTGTTTCTCACTTCAGTGGTGGCTGCTTCTCAGATTCTTGTCCAGCCTGAGGACAGGCTTGTCAAAGACCAGGACTTTGGATCCTCACTTCTCCAGTCATCTTCTCAGGTGAGCTGGGTTCCCCTGCTTTTCTCACTGCTGAATGAGGTTTTGAGCATGTACCAATAGCCAGGAGGATTGAAACAGGAAGCATTCTGGAAAGTGGAGGGGTGAAGGGGGCCTACCTAGGCTAACAGGAATACTACAAATGAAAAAAAGGTTGAGTTTCGATATTTCTCTCAGGTCCTCTGAAGGCAGAATGTTCTTCTAATTTCCTTCTTGAATAGTAGAATCTGGGCCCTTGAAAAAGGTAGAAAAGTTTAGAGAGACAAATCTTGTCTCTGTGCCTCAAATGGGATTGACATAGTGGCTGCAGTGATGGATTCAGGTTTAGTAGGGTTTGTGAGGCTGGCACAGGACTGGGGCAGTGTTTTGTTCTGTTGTACGTAAGGTCACTGTACTGATTACCTAGTGCTACTGTGATGAGAATATACCACAAATGGGATGGCTTGAACAAACAAGAGTTTATTCTTACAGTTTGAGGCTTTAAGTCCAAGTTCAAAGTGCCAGTCACTAGGGGCTGGGGTTCAGCTCTGCCGCCTGCTCCCGGCCCACTGGAACTAGAGGCTTTTCTTCACTCAGACAGCTACTGGCTGCTGAGGGTAATAAGCCCAAGGATGACAAGTAAAAAGGTACAGTCCCGATGTTACCAAACCACATGTCAGGCTGTTAACTCAAGTCCATTGTAAGTTCCAGGGTCAGCAGTGCATGGCAGTCTGCTGCTGAACAATGACGTGACTATAAGCGTGCCATAAGCTAGAGTCGATTCCCAAAGCTCTCTCTTATATATGGGATGCAAATCACATACCCAAAACAGCTACTCAGCTGCTTGTGGTAGATCCTACCATGGAGTTGAGTGCCAGTCTCATCATGGGAAATAACTACCAGTTGCTCAGCCACTCAACCAGGCCTAGCCAAGTTGAAACACAGATTAAAACCACCATGGTCACTATGAGTCAGAGATGACTCGATGGCATGTAACAACAACAACAGCATGCCTTAACATGGTCATCTCTTCTCTTTCTTTATATTTGGACTATGTAAAGGAATGACTGTATTTCATTTGCTAGTCTAGGCTACTGACATGAATGTGAGTTTGAGATTTGGAATGGTTACATCTAATATGGGACAAATTATATTTTTTCTTCTCAGCTTTATGCAGGTATAATTGGTATAAAGTACACTGCATATATTTAAAGCATATAATTTGATAACTTTTGACCTGTGTATATACACATGAAACCATGATCACGATCAAGATGATAAATGTCATGGATTGAATTCTTTCCCCCCAAAATATGTGTCAATTTGGGTAGGCCATGATTCCCAGTATTGTGTGGTTGTCCTCCATTTTGTGATAAGTAATTATCCTCCATTTTGTGATGTGTTGTAAATCCTAATCCCTTTATGTCAATGAGGCAGGATCACTGTGGAATCTGAGGTGCCTTATAAGAGAGTGTGACTCATGTCACATCCTTACTCAATTCACACCCTTACTTAAGTCATACCCTTCCTCGAGTCACACCTTTTATTTTATAAGAGATGAGAAAGAAGTGTGTAGAAAGGGATGGACTTTACTACCACTAAGAAAGAAGAGCCAAGAGTTGAGCTTGTCCTCTGGACTTGGTGTCCCTGCACTGAGAACCTCCTAGACCCAGGGGAAGATTGATGCCAAGACACATAGAGAGCTTCAAGGAAAACACTGGGTCCACAGATGTGGAAAAGGTACCTTCCCTTAGAGGTGACGGAGAAAGCCTTCCACTAGAACTGGTGCCTTGAATTCATACTTCTAGACTTCTTAACTTTGAGAGAATAATTTTCTGTTTGTTAAAGCCATCCACTTGTGGTATTTCTGTTATAGCAGCACTTGTTGTTGTTATTTGCCATCGAGTCGGCCCCGACTCATAGCGACCCCTCCTTGGGTTTCCGAGGCAGTATCACTACAGAAGTAGGAATGCCCAACCTTCCTTCCGAGGAGTGGCTGGTGGGTTTGAACCGCCAGCCTTCTGGTTAGCAGTCAAGTGCCTTAGGCACTATGCTACCAGCAGCTATAAAAAATGATGTGGCAGAGGAGTCATACCTCCTCTAACTTAACACAGGGCAGAGAGAATCACTACTAGCATCAAACCATAGTTGATTACCATGAAGTAGAAGTCAGACATACCTTCTCTCTCCAGTCTTTTTACCAATTCTGACACCACCTGTCCCTCCTATGGCACTCTACTTCTCTGCTGGGTTTGATAAATCATTGTAGTGGACAGACAGAACTCATAGACAATATTCACAATTATAGGATTTATTAGAGAAGGAACAGGATCAAAAGCGAGTTGGGATAAGTTATTTTATCAGGACAACCTCTTCTCAGCCTGGTCTGTGGGCAGACTTCTCTTTGGCTCTTGTCCCCTTGGGCCTCTTGGGCATTTTGGGCTGGCTCAGCCCTTCCTCTGCCCTACTAGCATGTTGCAAAGCTCTTGAGCTCCACTGGCTTGGCGACACCATATTCCTCCAGTAAGCCTAAGCCTAAAGGCACTGAGGTCTCTTACTGTGTGGATTGGTGAACCTAGCTCTGGCAAGAGTCTGCAGACATCCCACTCCTCAAGCACACCTGCCTGAGGGTTCTCAGTTCTCTCCCTTCATGGACTGGGAAGCCCACTGCACCATCTCCTGCTAGTCTTCTGCTTCTTTTATCTCTGCTGCCACTTTTTTTTTTTTTTTTTTTTTTTTTGCCATCTCTGGTGTTACAATTCTTTGCCTTCTGGATCTAGGCGGTTCTCAGAGTAGGGACCCCAGGTCCAAACATGCACTCTGTCCATATCTCTTCTTCTTGGTGGTCAAATCCCCCCTTTTCTACCTGTGGGATGATTCATTTTAAACCTAGCAGGATGGCAAAACTGGCCAATTCCTTTGTTACATTTCCATATACTTTATTGCATGGTCCCACATCTGCAGGGTTCCATGAAGCCTATTTGCATTATTGTTAAACTGTTTGTGATAGTTGGAGCTGTGTGTCAACTTGGCTGGACCACAATTCTGTGTGGTTTGAGCTGTTGTGGTGCGGTTGTTCCCATGATGGGATCAGATGATTATATTTTAAGCAGCCAATCTGTTGAAAGGGAGATTCCGTAGGGGTGTGGCCTACTTCCAGTATATCCGTGGACATCCTGGGAGAGGAGACTTTCTTCTGTGGATTGGGATTCTGTTGTGCTGCCTACAGCTGTCTGTGAGTGAACAATCCACCATTCGGCCTGGAGATCTTGGATTTGTCATTCGTTGGAGTCAACAACCAGTGTACTGCCTGCCAGCCTTGAGCTCCTCAGCCCCTGCGGCTGCAAGAGTCAAGCAAAACCTCTAACTTGATGTGGAAAATCCTCCAGCTTGACATTTGATCCAGGAACTTTGGACTTGCCATCTTCTATAAGTGTGAGCCATTTTCCTAATATAAATTTCTCTCTCTCTCTCTCTCTCTCTATATACATATATATAGCTTTACTGGTTTTGTTTCTCTAGAGAACCCAGTCTAACACACTGTTCAATCCTCTTAATGGGCCACAAGCTCCTTGTTTTCATCCAGTCATTATTTGGTAGATGTTATAAGACAATAGCTAGAAAGGCCATATAAAAGCAGTCAATCACACTGTAATAACTACGACAATATGGTTCCAGAATAGTGGGGTCCTGCTCTAAGAGATATCTAAAAGGTAGAAGGGATTTTGGAATTTGGCAATGGGTAGAGACTAGAAGAGTTTTAAGGTGCCTGATAGTAAAAGCCTAGATTGCCTTGAGGAGACTGTTGGTAGAATGATGGACATCAGATGCAATTCTGGTGAGAGCTCAGAAGGAAGTGACAGAGCTATAGGGAAAAATCTCTATGATCTCAGAGAATATATAAGGCACTAGCAAGAGAATATTGCTAGAAATGTAGATGTTAAATGTGCTTCTAATGAGGCTTTAAAAGAAAATGATGAATATGTGATTGGACAATGGAAGAAGGGCATTTCTTTTTATGCAGTGGTAAAGAACTTGTCTGAATTATGTCCAAATGTTTGGTGAAGGGTGGAACTTGTAAGTGATGAAATTGTATATCTGCCTGATGAGATTTCTAAGCAAGTCTTGAAGGAGCCAAATGGTTTCTCCTTATTTCTTATAGTAAAATGGGAGAGAAAAGAGATGGACTTAAAAAGGAACTATGTAAAATGAAAACAAAGTTTAAAGATTTGGAAAATTCTGTTGTACAAAACTAAGGTAATATGTTCTAGAATTTTCACCAAGGACATGGCTATACAAACTTTTGTTGAAGAGATTGAGCTGGTGACTGATTGAAATAACCAACTATAACAGCAGAACAACCATCAGCTTAGAGTGAATGGGACAGAGAAAGAAGGAAAGGAGAGAATGCTGTCTGCTTCTTGGAATTCTGTAGGCAGGAACTAGTCAGAGGAGCTACACCTCTTGTCCTCCAGAAGAGAACAGAATCACCCCTGAAGCAGCTCAGAGCTTAGCAGAACCGTTGGAAGGAGCACGAGAAGCAGAGCTGCCTTGGTCTCAAGGGATGGGGCTATGGCCTCCAGGGTTTCAAAGTGTGGTGCCGTGGTCTCCTAGATCCCAATGGGTAGGACCACAGCCTCCTAGGTTTCAAAGAGTCCAGTCTTTGCCATTGAGATTCCAGAGTGTGGGACTGCCATTAGGGTATGCCTGGAGGATAGAGCCACTGCTCAAAGCTGAGTGGCCTGTGCTTCTGGAACCGAGAGTGTAGTGTTTTCACTCAGTTGGACAAAGAGAATGGGACCGCCCAAAGCCAAAGGAGCAGAGTTGCTGTCCTAGTAGACTTAGAAGGAAGAGCTGAAGCCCAGGGACAAGAGGCTTCCCACTCTGAATCCAAAGGGCATGGCCAACACTGAGTCTGGAGGGTGGGGCCATTGCTCAGGTAGTCTCAGAGAACAAAGGATTGTTTTCAAAGCTTGTGAGCTAATGTAAATTGTTTTGCTGGATTTTGAACTTCTTTGGTGCCT